TTTATCCGATTTAAACAAAACATCATATCCTTTATCACATAGTTGGCTAATACTAAATAAGTTGTGTTTTAAGCCTTTAACAAGTAAAACATCATCAATAGTTAAGGAAGAGGAGATACCAATAGTTCCAATGCCGATGACCTTGCCTTTTGAGTTGTCGTCGAATGTAACATTCCTCTTTTGTGAGGTTTGATAGAGCGAAATTTTGATTGATCTCCTGTCATATGTCTTGAGCATCCACTATCAAGGAACCACTTGTCCTTGGATGAATATGAAGACTTCACGCAAACCTACAAAATGAATTTGAGTAATCTTCTTTTGGTACCCACATTCTTTTGGGTCCATGAGAGTTAGGAAGAAGCACATAAGTTCCTTTAACAACCCAAACCTCTTTTGTCCTACTTGGCCTAATAGGACAATGATTGATCTTTTGTCCTATCTTTTTACAATAATTGCATGTTGGACTAAAGGAGAAATTTTTAACAAAGTAATTGTTCAAGGGCTTTTTCCTTTTTAATAAGCATGAATCTTTGTTATGAGGATCAAATCCAAGCCCATCCTTAGCATAAGCATTTCGTTGCTTTCCAAGAATGATGCTTAAATTCTCTCTGCCTTTTGTGAATTTGGCTAAGGTTTCAACTTGATCCTCAATAATGACTTTCAATTATTCATTTTCAGAAATTAACTTAATTGAGGCTGCTTCTTTAGCTAATTCTTTTTCCTTCTTCAAGGTTTCATTTTCAAGTTGAGATTTTTCAAGGTTTTGAGAGATGATAAGCTTTTCTCTTCTAAGGCTAGCACACTTTTGAACCATTTTGCCTAATTCATCATGTAATTCTTTGAAAGCATTTAGCAAATAATTGTGTGCATCAACTAATTCATCATATGAAGTTTCTAAATCAAATGAGTCATGATTAGAATTTACCTCATCCTCATCGGCCATGAGACAAAGATTGACCAATTCATTGAGTTCATCGTCACTTTCGGATCCATTTGAATCATCATCTTCCCATGTACCTCGCATGGCTCTGCCTTTCTTTTTCCTTTCCTTTTCATTTTTGTAGGCAAAGCAATCGGATTTGAAATGTCCCGGTTTTCCACAATGAAAACATGTAAGTGCTTCTCTTTTTCCTTGCTCACTTGATACACCATTTCTTTTGAAGTTGTTACTCTTTTGGAATTTTTTCATTTGAAGAACTCTTCTCACGGTCTTGGTAATGAAAGCAACTTCTTCTTCTTCTTCATCAATAGGAGCTTTATCAATTGTGACTTCTTTCGCAGAGGCTTGAAGAGCTATATCCTTCTTTTGAGCTTCTTTGTCTTCATCTCTATCATTCATCTCTAACTCATAAGCCATTAATGAGCCAATAAGTTCATCTATGGGGAGTGTATTGAGATCCTTGGCCTCTTGGATGGCGGTCTTCTTAGCTTCCCAGTTTTTAGGCAGAGACCTAAGAATTTTTCTCACATTGTTGGACGATGTATATGATCTTTCAAGAGCCTTCAAAGGATTCACAATGTTAGTAAAACGAGAATACATTTCACTAATAGTTTCTCTGTTGTTCATAGTGAAAAGTTCATATTTATGGACAAGCATATTCATTTTAGATTCCTTTACATAACTGGTCCCTACATAGGTAACTTCAAGTTTATCCCAAATTTCTTTGGCTGTTTCGCAATCCGAAATTCTATTGAATTCATCTTTGCTTAAAGCACAATAGAGATTGGTGATAGCCTTGACATTACATTGTACAAACCTACGATCATTTAGGGTCCATTCAATATCAGGTGTTGACACAGTTTCACCATTTACAATTTTGGTTGGAACGTGGTCCCCTTTTTCTGTGGCTTTCCAGACATCTATATCAACACCTCTTAGAAATGCTCTCATTTTGATCTTCCAATAGTTGTAGTCATTTTCGTCAAACCAAGGAGGTCTATTGTTAGATTGACCTTCTTGATAAAAATTTGTATTGGCCATGGTCGTTCTCTAAGATGGTTAGATCTTTTTTTAGAGATTAGGCTCTGATACCAATTGTTAGTCGCTAATTGACTCTAGAGGGGGGGTGAATAGAGTCAATGGCCAATTTTTGCAATTTAAAAATATTAAATCTTACAGACTATTAATCACAGAGAAACTGAAATATTCAAGCAGTGTATGGCACAAGTATAAGAGAGATAGAGATGAGAGATTGCAAACAATGACTCGGCGATTTAGCAAGGTTCGGAAACTCCTACTCCTCGGCTCAAGGTCCCCCTTGAGACTTCCCAAAAATCACTAGAGCTTCTCCTTAATGGTGGAGAGCAAACCTTCAGTTGAAGCAAGACCTTGCTTCTCTTCCTTGCTAAGAGAACACCCTTCTCCTAGACTTTCTTTTGGGTCACACCAACCCTTTTACAATAACTTGAAAAGAAATGAATTGTACAATAAATCTCTCAAAGATAGAAGTACACAGTTCTGCTTACGACTATAGAAAAGATGAATATATATCTGAAGCTCAGAATTACTACAGTAGAATGAAATGTCAGAGAGGAAATGAAAGCAAAGGGAATGAAAGCTCAACAAATGCTTCTTTAATGCTTTTTAGGAATGGTAGAATGCTCTCTGTAATTATGTCTTTTTAATGCAGACCAGCCTCTGTATTTATAGATAAACAATGGTCGATATAGCTGTTGCAGGTGGTTGGACAACAATAAATAAAAAAGTTTCCGTTGTAGATCAAAACCCTAGAAGGAGCCGGCTCTTTGCAAAAGTGGAGGCGGCTCAATTTCAAATGGAGGCGGCTCTATTAGAAAAGTGGAACAGGCTCTTTTTCTGAAAAGGAGACGGCTCAATGGAAAAGTGGAGCCTTCTCTAGATTTTTAGAGCCTTCTCTACTTTCGTAGAGCCTTCTCTACTTTTTTGTAGAGCCTTCTCTACTTTCAGTAGGAGGCTTAAAATGAATTCCAGTATGTTGTAAGGCTCATATGAATGTGTTTAAAAACCTAATAAGCTAATTTTATGTTCTTTGAGAGATGAGATAATAATGATATGCATGAATTGTAATTTTGAGCTTCAAAATATATTCAACTAAACTTTGACATTGAACCTTAGTATCTCACCATCCTATCTACCCTTTTCTTCATTTCTTGATCATGATCGTCTAGGCTTGATGAAGATTTGCTGAAAAGCTTGAATGATCTTTGAAGACCGAGTACTTCTTTATTTTCTTGCACTTTGATGCTTCTTTGAAATCATTGCTTGACTGTTTGGAATGCTTGAAATGGAACTTCTAGCTCATCATTAAGGGTTGAATGATTGAACAACTATACTTCACTCAATGAAAATATTAGTACATAAATATCATTAATGGATTGTAATCATCAAAACATATGATTGACCTTTAGATAGAATCCTTAGGCCAACACATCGCTTCCGCTTTGTTTTCTTTCTGGGTTCCGTGGCTTCATGGGAAGTCATGCTTGTGTCTTAAGGATAACGTACATCTCTCGAGACTTGATTTTCCGTGTGAAAACACCATTTTGCCCTTGGGGGCATACTTGGTCTATTTTTGAACCTTTACTTCTGCGTTCATTCTCGTTGAGTTCCGTGACCTCATGGAAGGTCACTTTGGTGTCTTAGAGATGTATTGCATCTCTAGAGACTTGGTTTCTATTTCTGCTTCCGTATTTGGGATCCGTTATCGGGTCATCGCAGGACGCACTGACTTGAAAAACGAGGGCCGTCACATCTTGTCCTTATATTGTCTTGTATATTGATGAATTTGGATTGCTCTCAACCTCTTCACATTTTGTAATTATGAAGAGGATGGTTATGCAATGGAGCTTAATGATATAATTATAATCAATTTGATAGTTCACGCTTAGTGAAGATGAATTGTGCTACACATTAGATGATAAGTAGGTAAGTAGACAATGCATGCTTAACTTAGATGGATTATGCTTGTTGGTATCAATTGTAGTATTTTCTTTATTTCAATTGTATGGTTGTAGCCACAATTCATTGATTTACACTTGTTCTCCCAATAATTGTTAGTAAGGATATGATTACACAACTAAAGGTGGACTCCATGCCCTAACCCTCTCCACATTATCTTCTCTTGTCGAATATTATGTCGATTTTACTTGCATTATTCTTAGTTTCATTCAAATTGACCAATTAAGAACAATTCAACCTCTCCTTTGTATCACTTGTTCATTAAATTTGAATCGAATCAAGCCAATAGTCCTTGCGAACGATCCTCTACTTCAGTATATTGCAAAGTAGTGGTTAAAAATATAAAATTGAACTATACACCTATCTAAATCCACACCGATCATGTCTTCAAAGGGAAGGTACAGTTTTGGGCAATTTTGACTCTCAATTCTCAAATGAAAATTTATGAAAATTTTCTTAAATATTTCATTCATCAAGTGAACAAAGTGATGTGTAGAATTGGTCTCTAATTTTGTATGACATTCTTAATATATTTTGCTTTTAACCCATTGGAGTTGCAAAAAGTTTGGCTTATAATCACAATTGGGCAGATTTTTAAAATGAAATCTAGCTAGATGATGAAGTTAAATTTCCTTTTCAGGATCATAAGATGATCATAAAAAGGACAAAATCAAGTTAGATAATCAGACTAAATAATTGGGCCTAGATTGAAACGGACCTTAAAATTTGTATAACCCTGCTGGGTTCTTCTCTCTCTCTCTCTCTCTCTCACACACACACACACAAGAAAGGAAGCATAACAAGTGCGAATCAATTTTGTTTTTTTTTTTTTTTAACTTTCCGAAAAAAAAAAAGTGTGAATCAATTAAAAAGCAGAACCTAACAACACTGATTCATTGATTAAAGCATGTAGAGCTTACATGGGAGCCCAAACCATAAAAACCCTACTAAATCTTGCTTCTCCTTTTCCCTTTTTTATTTTGATAAAGGAAATATATTGTCATGCATACTAAGTTCACCAAAATCACATTTTGCCACATTTTTGTTCACTTCAGTTGGTCCC